TACTGCGACAGCCAAGGTAGGGACCAGGGGCCATGGCACTTCAGCTTTCAGGCTTCCTGCTTGATGGCTTCGGGCAAGCAGAATCGGCAGGAACTTCGCTGTACGCGGCGCCCAAGACAAGGCGAGTTCAGGCCGCGCATGGAAACTACCACCCTAGATCCTAAAACAATACCGACCGCTACTAAACCCGAAGTCGAAAAGCTTTCAACCCAAAACGTAGACAAGGGCTTAGATGCTATACCTGGGACATCCGCGGTCCCACACATTCACACGCATAAGCACACACACAGAGACCAACACACACACACACACACACACACAAGACAAAACAACGCGCACACGCACACACACACACACACACATGCACACAAACCATAGACACCACTACAAAGTCTCGTAAGCTCCCCACCCTCAACAGCACAAGGGAGCTGAACCCTAGGTGCTGAATTCTTAGAGATCGCCCTGAACGGGAAGGACCAAAGCCTAAAACCTCTCTGATCCGGAAGCTCTACTTAGGGTTTAGGGTTTAGGGTCTAAGGTTTAGGGTTTACGGCTTCGGGCTTTGTTCTGCTTCTTTCACAGTGCCCATGTGCAGCCTGGCGAAAGCGCTCCAGCTCCAGGGACAGGCCAACGGAGCCCTGCCCGGGGTGTCGGATATGGGTGGTTGTCAAAATTAGGGTCCCTTTTTGGGTCCGACTATGATATAAAAGAACCATAATTTTGACAACTACCCATATAGGGTTTAGGGTTTCGGGTGCGCCATGACGGGACTCTCAGTACAGGACCGACAACGCAGAGAGGTCGGGCTCATTGCTTGCACTCCACTGTAGCGCAGTCGCTGCGGGGTTCCAGGTCGGGGACAGCCAGTATCGGTATCGCGGACATTTAAAGAAAACCCACATCCTGCTGGGATCAAACCTGAAAATTCTGAGTCGTAAACTCCCCGAAGCCTCTCTGTAGCACCACAAAATATCCACAAATGCCCAGTACATACAAACACCCAAATCAACAACTGATCCATATTGTAGGCCTACATTGGGGACCCGTCGCGCTATCATTTTCAACCACTAGATAGAGAAACCAATAGTGAGAATCCCTAAACCTCTACACGCCGACTACCAATAACCCCAAAGCCCTCAACCCTACACCACCCGGATTGGCTTTCTGAATCCTTAGTCTGGTCTAGGATTTTGGAACCCTACTAGAGCATCATCTCAGCCCCGCTACAGCGCTGCCTGCCGGTCACCACCTAAGAGCTTCGGATTCCGCAAGGGGACTTGGAAAGATTCTATGCCGCAATGCCGGGATCCAGAAGAGTCAGGGTTGGGGTTTTCGACGAGGTTTCGGCATTGGGGCTGGGACCTCGGGTCTTGGGCAGAATACCTGGATCCATCCTGGGCTCCAAGGTTAACACTCGAAACGAACACTGGAATCCACTGGAATGGATCATGGCCATGAAACGTCGTTGACACAGTTCCTTCTTAGTATCCCCCTATGAACTCTGCACTAGCCCGAGCGCTCATTCACCAAAACTACTCACCGAGCAGGAGAGCATGCAAGCACGTTCAGGGTTTGGGCGTCCAGCTTAGAGACGTGGGGTGTGGCCATAAAGCAATGTTTCCTGTGTGTGTGTGTGTGCGTATATCTATATCTATATATATATATATATCTAATGATATACTTTTATTATTAGTATTCTTATTCTTATTCTTATTCTCATTAACATTATAATTACTATTATTATTATTATTACATTACGTATATATATATATACATACACACACGTATATATGTTGCTATATAGCACCATATGTATATATACACACATAGACACACGTACACATGTATATACATGCACGCATGCATGTGTGTATATATAAACATATCCCATACACATGTCTTTCATGTCATATCATGTGGCACCACATCTTAGCACAAATAGTTATGATATGCATATATGTGCATACACAAGTGCATGTGCACATATATATATATATATATATATCTCTCTCTCTCTCTCTCTCTCTCTCTCTCTCTCTCTCTCTCTCTCTCTTAGTACATATACGAACTGATCGACCTCCACCCCCCGCGCCGCGAATAAAACAAAAAGCACCTCCAAAAGTCCGTTGATTGTTAAGGGGTATTTGCACTCTCTCTCTCTCTCTCTCACATTAGGGAGGACCTTGCTCCTGCTCCAGCTCTTCCTGCGGTTCTTGCTTCTGCTTTTGCTCTTGTTCCCTGCTCTTGCTTTGCTCTTGCCCCTACAACCCATAGCTCGACATGGTTTTCTAAAAGGCAGGGACGATTTCACAGGGATTTTCCAGAACGTCTCTTCTCTTTAAATCATTGGGGGGGGTGATTCATAGAATACGGGAAGTCCGTATATAAATGTCACGGGTTTATGGCTGCTTGACTGACCCGCTTGAGCATCTTGCCCCGTCTTCGCATGATGCCATGCAGGGAAAGGATCAACAACTGTAAGCCACAGACATGTTGGAGTTGCTTGCTATTTAGGTTAATCTCGCTTCGAGGACCTCGGATTGTTTTGGTTCGTGGGGCCTCGGTCTTGGAGAATCAATAGACAAATGAAGCTCCTTTTCGCATGGCAGATAGAAATTATGATCTGTGGGTACAATAAATAAAGACGGCGCATATGTCGCGCACACACCTCTAGCACGCCTTGTGCGGCCATGGGTGGTGCCTGCTTCCCGTCCGAGGAACTAAATACCCGATGACGCTAACAGCCAGAGACTTGGCGCCGAGGGGATTTCGTAAAACGAAGGCTTCGCTACGCAAGAACACCGCACGTGGGGAGTGCAGTTGAATTACAGATGCCCGCTCCACAGGCAGCCTCAGGCCCTCGTATGTAGGCCGTGAACCATGACCTATACAAGTGGAAGAACGCGGCAAAATGCCTAGACATGCCTGGAACGCAATGGTCAGCCTCCGGCACGCACCATATCATTACTTTCTCTGGCTCTTCAGCTTTACTCTAGCTATTCTCTAGAATCTTGAATGCGAAATTCTGGCGTTCCCGAAGCCTAGAAATAGGAGTTTTCGAAAATAGGGAACCCTAATATGGTACCCTAAATAGTAGGATCCTTATTATAAGGACTCCAAAATACGGTACCCTTATTTTCGGAAACTCCCAAATAGCCAGCTTCGGAAACTCCCAAATAGCCAGCCTCAGTACTTCGAAGCTGCTTTCAGACGGTACTCTCGCTAACGAACTGGCCCTCCGACTGCTCGGGGGTGATAGTACTGGGCGTCTTCTTGCCATCGCCATCCTGCTCCTGGGCTTTCACCGCTTTTAGGGTTTAGGGTTTGGGGCTTTGGGTTTGGGGTTTAGGGTTTACGGTTTAGGGTTCAGGTTTTTGTTTTTTAAGGGCTCCGTTTCGAACTGCAGAGTGCTTATCGAAAGCCCGTTTGGGCGAGCAACTGGTACCACTTTCAGAACCAGAAAACTTTCGTACCGGCAAGTGTTACCCCCCTCAGTAGTGCTGGACCCTGCATCTTCTCATTGGGGGTTTAGGGTTTGGGGTTTAGCGTTTAGCCAGGGATAAAGTCGCATAGACTAGACTCCTGTTTTCATTGTCATACTGGTTCCTTGAAGGAACAGGTCCCCCAAAAAAGCATTAAGGTATGGGCTCCTGTTAAGGAACAGGTCCCAACAAAACCTTAAAGTCACTGAAGTACTATACTGAACTTAGAACCCTAGCAAAAATTATAATTTTAGCTGTTTCTTAGGGATTATAATAACCAAAAATTAAAAATTATTTCTAAGTACCCCTAAGAGTATGGTACTCCGGAACCCAGGCTCCTCATCATCTCCCTCGATGAAGGCACCGGCCCAAAGCATCTTGCACCGCACCAAGGGACTCTCCCCACGGAAGATCCTCAAGCGAACATGCCACACTCCAGACACTCCCCCTCAACTCCGGAAGAACCTAGATCAGATCTCTTGGCCCCAACCCCAGCCCAACAAGTCCCTTATGCCCTATAAACCCTATAAACCGTAAAACACAAAAAAACAGAACCCGAGAGCCTCAACGGAGCAAGCAAGAGCTGAATGGCGATCCACAAGGCCAAGCCGGCAATAATGCCGTAGCCTTGTCTCTGCGAAAGAAAAAACAATGGGTACTCTTGCAATTTCACATCAGAGTTTATAGGGGTTTAGATGTATATCACTACGTAAGGTCTTACGGGTTGCTTTTGAATTCCTCCATGAGCCTTAACACGGAGATCTGAGGCAGCAGCCGATGCTGAAGGTGAAGGGCATGGTGATCATGGCCACGAAAGCTGGCAAGGCTTCCTGCTTGCTGAGATCCCCGGATCAAACCAAAGAAGCACGCTGAACTCTAATCCCAAACACTGTCAAACCATACCAAACGCTCTTAACTGAACTCTATAAGCCCGTGCAAAGCCCAAAGGGTGCAGGCCACCTCTTCAGCCCAACAGAACGACCGGAGGATTGAAGGTACCAGCAAAACCAGATTTTTTGCAAAGAAGGAATCGACCTACTAGAAGGGCCTTCATGCGTAGAATAGAGTTTAGGGTCATGTCTTAACTAGTATACCAGTACAATAACAACAAACTCTAACGAATATGCTTGCCAATTGTTGGCTGAATATGTGTGCATGTGCATATATATATATATATATGTGTGTATGTAAGTATGTATGTATGTATGTATGTATGTATGTATGTATATATATATATGGAGATGTGTATGTATGTATATATATATATATAAAAATTATACTGACTTAAAGCATACTTTGAACAAAGGGGAATAGTGCTCACGCGGGGGCTACTGAGGGGATGCACTCAAATAATTACACGACAGGGTGCGCTAACGGATCAACATCAAGCCCAAGAAGCCCAGACCCAAACACTAAATCTCACACCCTCAAAAACCGCGCTCCCGGAAAGGTTTCCGAACCCTAAACCCGAAAATTCAAAAATCTTGCTGGGCTTGGGGTTTAGGATGTAGAGTAACCCTAAACCACAAACTTGGGAAATCGGTGCTCCTGGAAGTCATCCCAGTCCACGCCCTTCACAGAGCTGCACATCATCGCGCCCAGGAGGCAAAGGATGGGGCCAGAGGCCAGCGGGGGAACCTCAGAAAAATAGAAGACCGCGCGTTTACGGTTTTTAGTGTAGGGTTTAGGGTTTCAGGGATTCATAATGGGTTCCTTTAAAGAGATCTTGGTTTAGGGTTTTAGGAGGTCTGCAAGGGCTCATTGAAAGGGATCCATGGGGTTTTTGGGTTTCGGGGTTGGGGTTTTAGGTTCAAGGTTTCCTAGGCTGTTCAGTAACCCACTGGGAAAAAGTATATACTTCTTTAGGCTTCTTAAAAAACATAACAGGAACCCAGAAACCTGAAAGTAAAAACGTGTACCACTGAAGAGCCTGGTTTCAGGGTCTGGGATCCAGGGTACAAGGTTCCAGGGTTCAGAGAGTCGGGTTTGGGGTTTTGCGTCGATTTGTTAAGAGTTTAAGAGTTTTGGGGGTTTATAGGGGTTTAGGGTTGTGGGGGGGTTTTGGGGTGCAAGGCGTGCGGCTGAGGGTCTAGAGCCTAAGGGTTCAATCAAGCACAAAGGGCCCCGAGTACCTACGAAGTCCTCAGTTGGGTTTGTAAACTCGGAATTAGTACTATGGTCTGTGTTTGTGCCCCTCGTATAACTTCTGCACATTTGGGGAAGGTAGAAAATTGGAGAGCGAACAAGTAGTGCAAAAAGTGCAAAACAATGGGTGTGCAAAAACCCAGGCCCCATGACAAACGCTAAACCCTAAACCGCCTCCTATAAAAATGGGGGTCCCAGGGTTCAGAGTTTAGGGCAGCTTACGGCGGGCTACAGCGCTCCCGAGTCAGGGGTTGGGGGGTAATAAGGGGCCTTAACATAGAATAGGCTTGCTTTGAAGGGGTCTATAAGGGTTAATATAAGGGATCTATAGTAGGGTTCTATAATCTAGGGCCTTGATAATAAGAATAGGGTTTTGGGGCCAATTATACTATAATTACAATAAGGAGCCCCCCCAAAATAGTATAGGTACTTATTAAGACCCCTATATTATACAGGAATGACAGTTCATTTTACGTAGAGTAGCCTGCGCAGCTTTATCAAGGTGAATACATACTCCGCCGAGGCCGCAGGCCCAGGCGTATTGGAGGTTAACTCAGGTAGCCTCCCCCTTATTTCTCCTCCCTGCAGTCCGAAAGTTTGTTCATTTCCCTTTCGCGGCCCGGCCACCTTTATCTTACCGGCTTTTTCCGCCCTCCCCGCCCCCCGCCCCCCCTGTCCTGCTCTTTTTTGACACCACCTCTGTTTTTTGGCCTCCTCCTCGCATCACCATGTCATGGGTATTGCTTACTCCACCTTTTTCATCAACCGTGTGCACCCACTCATCCCCCATGACACATGAACGAACTGAGAGATACCGCGAGACATGGAGGGCATGGTAGAGAGACACCCGTACCCATATGCAGGCAGGCAAAGCACCAAGCACACCCTTCATGTAGGTCGAACGGAGCCAAGGCACAGCCGAGACGATCGGTGAGAAAGGGATGGCCAGCAAGAAACAGCTGCCCGTCACCAGCGACGCCAAGCCGGTCTTGGCACCATCTGCAACTCCGGCGGTAGACTCGGCGAAGGTGCTCACGGTGGAAACGCCCAGAACAGAGCCGATCTGCGCGGATGTAGACCATAAATGTCTCGTTGTGTTGGCGGGGTAGGAGAAAGTAAAGACACCCAAGAAGGTTGAAGCTTACCTACTCAACTACGAAGCAGTGCGCTTTGGCTTTCACGGCTACAGGGGATTTCAGGCACTGAACCTTCAGGCTTCGAGGGTCTTCAGGGCCTTCAACCCCCAGAGCATCTTACGGTCTCGCAGTCTCTTCGACATGTGCAAATTTCAGAAATGAGGGACCCCAAGCTGGACCATGTCCATAGCTAAGGAAAACCCTGCACCCTATAAAGCCGACTTTTCGCAAACCCCCATCGGGCCATCATCGAGAGTGCGTCGGCCAAGTATGCCATGTTCTGGCGCGCCAGGGGCAGGTTGCCACGGGCGTCCGTGAGCCCAGCGACCTTCGCCACTGCGAAGAAAGTGCCGGAGGAGTCGAGCAAATCGGTGTAGCCTTGGGGCTTTGGACCCAAATACGCCTAAGCACCAAAATACCCAATAAGCCTCGAATAAACTCTGAACTCTTAAGCCCGAAACAGGATTGAAACCCTAACCCACGACTTGCAAGCTACATCGGAGGGAGCTTTGACAAGTTGTGATGAGCATGTAAGACGCTAATATAGCACCCGAGATATTAGGATCCTTATTATAAGGACCCCAAAATAAGGTACCCTAATTTTCGGAAACTCCCATACGAAGCAGCAAAAGGCAGGGCATCGTCACATGTGCAGCTCCAGAGGTTTCGACGGACTTCGGTGATTCAGCTGTGACGCAGTCATAGTTGATTAATTTTCATCATATAGTTATAGTATATTAGGGCCTTAATCGTAGCCCTATTATAGACTCTTACTGTATGGGCTTGTTCTTGCATGCTCGCTTGGGCTAGGAGATTTGCTTGTCAATGCTTTTGTTAATTTTCTGGGTTGTTCCTTTACACTCATGTGGGGCATTGGCACTGTGGGCTCCGAGCAGCAGAAGGTAGCCACAGCCGTCCAAAACGTGCCGCTGGTCTCCGGGTGGAAAGCCTTGCACGAAGGGAGCACCGCTGACTCGTGACAATTGCCCCGGCTGGACGTCAAGCAGGGCTTGATTTCTTGGACTGAAGCTGCTGGTACAGGAGTCTCTTCAGGCCACACGAAACCTATGATGACCCCGACATGTTGCAAAAGCCCTACAACCTAGCCCGCCAAATCCGGGAACCAAGAAGGAACCCCACATGGTCCTCAAGACCCTAGGCCGACAATCCTTAACGTCCACGAACGATGGGTGCTCCATGCAACGATGCTACAGGCATCACATGGAGCAGGAGGGGACTCAGTAAGCCGGCAAGAAGAAGACGTGTACTTGGCACAATCTCGAATATGGTATTCAGCACTGTATGTCTCAGTCTACCCCCCGAACCCCGAGCCATCAACAAAAAGCAACGTTCAGAACCTCTTGACTCTGTCGGTGCCATCTTCGTCCAAATCTAGTAAGACAGCTACAGAGAGGCCCTCTTGACAAAGTGACCTGAACAAGTTCAGGAAGGCTTTGGAGTAAGTTCGAGTACAACTATAATCTTGAGGAGCCCGAGAATCGTATTGGAAACTATTCTGGCCCGCACATTTTAAAGCCCAGACCCCTCAACCGCCGATTAAACCCCTGACACCACTGCCTAAATCTCCAAACCCTAAACCCCTCATATATCTGCCACAGTGGCGGCACATGTAACCACACTAAAAACCCCAAACCTCCCTGGAACTCATGGAAAAACCCTCTTTCGTGCAGGGAGCCCAGTCGAAACCTTCGAAAAGTGCACCGGTCAGGCCAGAAAGATGAGGGCTGGCGACCTCAAAAAGGCTCAGGGCGTGTACCGGAATCCCGTAAAACCTCCCAGAGACTCCTGGGGCCCCTTTAAAAGGGATCTAGAAGGGTTCCTTTAAGGGTCCCTTTAAGGGTTCCTTTAAGGGTCCCTTTAAATGTCCCTTTAAAGGGATCTATAAGGGCTCCTTTAAGGGTTCCTGCAAGCGCCTCTATCTACATATGGACATATGGGTGGTTGTCAAAATTAGGGTCCCTTTTTGGGGGTCCCTGTTATAATACGGCATCTAATATTTAGGGTACCCAACAAAGATCCATAATCTTGACAACCACCCATATATGGGTTTAGGCTTTGGGGTCAGGGTTGAGGCTTTCCAGGGCTTAGGGTTTAAGGCTTTTCTTGGGCTCCAGGAGGTAAAGGGTTTAGGTTTAGAGCTTTGGGGCTTTCGGGATAAACGGTGTTTCAAAACATCTGCGACCTGACCCAAGCAGCACACGATCGGATCTGCATTCAAACCAGTATGCCTGGTATGAAGAAAGCCCATACCCCCTCTAAAAACCCATGGAAAAGACCCGTAAAAACCCTACCCCCCCCCCCCACCCCGCCATACTTGCACATAGAAAGCCTTTAACACCCCCTTACAAAGCCCGACTAGAACCGCAAAGATAAAGATACGGCATCCCTTGCCCTAAACCCTAAACCCTTGCTGTTGCTGTTGCCGGGAGGCTACGCCGTGAGGCACAAAGATGTGGAAGTCCTTGGCGGACCGATCCTGGGCTGCTTGGATTCGGAAATATACTATAACATACCTTAAATAACATGCCATAATATACCATATGTATATATATATATATATATGTACACACTATAACATACCATAATATACCATAGCAATGCCATAAGGCTTTATAGGGTCAACAGCATGCTGGCAATCGGAAGTGTAGGTCCCTTTCTAGCTTATCCCCTATACTTACGGCCTAACTTACAGAAGTCTCGCTGTTGTTGATGCTATCACCTTTCTTCCTTCCTGCAAGGCCCTGGTGCGCTGAAACTGAAAAATAAAGCGGGTATGAAGAGCACAGCCCAGTGTCGCCTTCGGTCCCGAAAGGGTAGCCGAAGACGGAGCCCTCCACACCATTCCTTGGCTCGGTAATATGTTGGGGACAAGGCGGTTTAGGATGTAGGGTTCAGGGGTTTAGCGTTTAGGGCGAGGAACGGGTTCGGAGTATGTATATATCCTGGCGTGTCATTGTGCAGCAGCTGCAGCACATATTCTAGAAGGGCTAGGGCTTTAGATTCGGCTGGCACAGGGGCTCCACTAATTAGAACATGGCCTGAAAGGGTGCAGTACGGGTCCAAAAGAGGATTCAGGGCCCGCCGCGTGTGGAGTTTTAGGGTGTTGGGTGATATCTTGGTAGAGCCTTCAACATTGCTGTGGGGATGAAAGCGGGCCCGACCAGGTTTAAGATTGGGCTGCATTCGGCTACAGCCTTCTCCGGATTAGTGAACTCTTTTGCGGATCCTCGGAAACCAGAAAGCCTCGTTTTCCAGGAATCCACGTTGGGAGTGTGTGGAGTTTGACAATACACCAGGCTTCCCAAGCTTGAGATCAAGCTGCTGTGGTGCTCCTAGCGGGTTTGTTGACGATGCTATCAACTTACTCCCAGGGCCTGAAACAAGATAGGATCAGTGCGACGGGTTACCGCACATTTAGAGATAGTTAGTAGCTTTGAGGCGCGGTACTCAGCGAGTCAAGATTGGAGAACACACACAAACAAGAGTACTAGCAACAGACGAAACTTCTACCGTTTATAGTAGGGATATCAGAACCCCTAAACCAAAGAAGCGCTAGAAGTCTGTCTAACGACAAACTTCAAGGCTCATGGTAGCATTGCCGGTAGGCTTAAGCTGGGAGGCAATAGAAGCCCAACGCAGCGCCTGAAAAGAATCCCTTGAGGCAACACATAGCCCCACAAGAGGTCTTTACAAGGCTATCTGGCCTGCATAAGCCTTAACTCTGAGGGTTTTTGGGGTTAGGGGTTCAGGGTATAGGGCGAACTCGACAGCCTAGAGAGACATGATCAGCCTAGGTTCACCCAGCCCTCGATCCAGCAGACGACAGTTCCCAAGACCTGGGCAGTGCTCGGAGGCCATTCAAAAAGCTTTCCTATTCCTTCTCAAGACAATAGACTAGACGATCATTAACGGTGTCTGCTGAGTTGTCTTCTCGTTCTTGCCGGGATATTCTTGAAGACAGAATAGTCTATCTCTAGCAAAAATTGCAATTTTAGCTGCTTCTTGGGGATTATAATAACAGAAAATTAACACACATATTTCTAAGTACCCCTAAGAACAATCCTAAGAGCGGCCCGAGCACGATGCCAATCAAAGGAGCGCCTGGGATCTTGGCCGACAACAGGGTCGCCGTGACCACGAGCACCAAGAGGGCCATCCACATCTTCCTGGGCTCGTCTTGGAGGCTACATGTCCTAAACTCTCGAGCCCTAAACCCTAAACCCTAAATCCCATTTCGTAAACTCTAAAGCCCTGAACCCCCGGAACCCTGAACCCGTTCCTGCCGCCAAGGCTTCCAAGAACTCCCGAAACCCTAAGCCCCGGACCCTAAGCCATCAAGGCCCAAAATGACCAAGGCCTAAGGAACCCTGTTGTAGAACCCGGAACCCATTAAAGGAGCCCCCCCAAAGTGCCCTTAAACAACCCCTAAACCCTAAACCCCTGCCTTCAAGGAGCCCTATTACAGAACCCTTAATTTCAGGGACCCCAAACCCCCCTGAAAAGCCACAGCTTCGAGGAGTCGTAGACAGGAGCCCCAAAAGTGCCCTTAAGGAACAACAATACCCTTAAACTAAGAAGCCCATGAAAGTAGCCCTCCAAAGTGCCCTTAAAGAACCCCTAAACCCTAAACCCCTAACTCCTACAAACATACCCTTAAGGAGCCCCCCCCCCCCACCCAAAGTGCCCTTAAAAACAACCCCTAAACCCTAAACCGAGCAAGCCCATTAAAGGAGCCCCCCAAAGTGCCCCTTACGAAGGCCACAGCTTCGAGGAGTCGTAGGAGCTGGAGCTCAGGGAGCCCAGCTTCACCAGCGTCGCGGGGTCGGCCACGGAGATGCCCATGCCTCACCGCTCTTTTTTAATTAAAGGGGGCGCCGGTAGTAGAATGTGCCCTGAACCCGAAATATAGGGGCCTAAATAGTATAATGTGCCCTAAACCCTAAATAATATAAGGGCCTGAACAATTACCAAAAACCCTAAATAAAATAGAAAACGTACCCAAAATCCTGAAAATAGGGACCTAAAGAATTACCAATAACGTGTTTTGGAGGAGTTCCTTATGATAAAGTATAGTATAATACACCCAAACTCTATTCTAAACTCTAAGCCCATGCCTGGATTCTCGGAGTTCTTTGAAAAGGGTGATCTTGAATAAGGAGGTTGTCTAAACGGGGCTCTTCTTCTTTACCAGCGCAGGCTCTTTAACAGCCTGTTCTTCTTTAAAGGGGCGCTACTTGAAAGAGGGGCTCTTCATTACAACGGGATCTTAGAAAGGGCGTTCCTCAGTTTCCGGTTGAGGGCTCTTTTTTCGTGCGCAATAAAGAGTTTGGTGTTGCTCTTGCTGTCCTTCGAAAGCTGCTTGGGCTGCGGCTGAGGGTTTATGTAGGGAGTTAGGGCCCGGCTGAGGAATGCAACCGAAGATTTCGCGATTTTGTAAAGGTTGCAAACTCACTGGCCCAAAACGTAAGGAAGTAAAAGTTGAAACTTTCGCAATCGACTACCTTATAAGAACCCCCAAAGTTGAAAAGTTGAGTTATCAGTCAATAAGCAAAAAAATCTTCCCCAAACCCTGAACCCCAACCCCAAATCCGAAGCCCCAAACCCTTAACCATTCCCGAAAGTCCTAGATATTTCCCTCAAGCAGCCCTTGAAGCTCTGGAAGCCGATATGAGGGTACCATAAGGGTTCTATAAGCGTACCATAAGAGTACCATAAGGGTTTAGGGTTTAAGGGTCCATGTACCCATCCAGTGTATAGTTCCTTAGGTTTAGGGTTTGGGGCGTAGAGAAACAAGCTTCTCTACTTCCCCATACTATAATATAAGGAAAATATTTAACCCCCGAAATGGTCTAAACCCTGAACCCTGAACCATGAACCCTAAACCCCCAATAGTAAAGGTAACCCTAAACCCTAAACTCTAAATTTTAGACGGCTTACGCCGAAGATGCGCCAGCGCAGGTTGTGGTTTGAAGAGCAGAAGGAAAGCGGTATTTAAGGAAAGCAAGCGACAACTATAATTCAGTTTAATTAAATTGGAGGTTTAAATAAATTGGCGGTTTAAAGAATTGAACCGTCATTGAAGTAACGCCCAATTTCGTGGTTGAGAAAAAACACAAATCCTAGTGTGGAACGGGCAAAGCCATGGCCAAGGCCAAGGCGAAGCTGAAATATCAACAAAATTTGTCCAAATCCCCAACCCCGCCCCAAATCCCCAATTCCAGTCCCCCAAGCCCCAAATCCCCAGTTCCAGGCCCTGAGGCCCCGACTCCCCAATTCCAGGCTTTGATGGCTAGTCTTTCATCCCAAATCCCAATTCCAGTCCCCAATTCCCGGCCCGCAAGCCCTGAATCCACAATTCCACCCCCGGAGCCCAAATTCCAGGCCCCCAGCCCCAAATCCCCAATTCCAGGCCCAAATCCCCACTTCCAAGCCCGGGCCCACCCCAAAGGCCCCAACTCCAGGCCCCTTCCAGGCCCCAAGGCTTCCAGGCCGCAAGTCCCCAATTCCAGGCCAAATCCCAATTGGATGCTTTGGCGGCTCCAAATTCCCAAACCCCAAATCCCCAATCACGCCCGAGCCCCAAATCCCCATTTTAGGCCTCCAGGCCGCCAATCCCCAATTCCAGTTATCCAAGGCCCAAATCCCCAGTTCCAGGCCCTGGCTTCAAATCCCCAGTTCCGGTCCTTCAAACCCAAATCCCCAATTCCAGTCCCCAAAAGTCCCCCAAATCCCAGCATTTCCATTCCCCTTGCAGGCTTGGAGGGGGTCTGGCAAAGGCAAAAAAACCCAATTTGGAGGCTTGGAGGGGGTTTGGAAAAGGCAAAAAAACCCAATTTGGGGGCTTGGAGGGGATCTGGAGAAAGGCCAAAAAACACGATGTGGGGGAGCTTGGAGGGGGTCTGGAAAAGGCCAAAAAACACCAATTTGTGGGTTTGGAAAAAGCAAAAAAGCACAATTTGGGGCTTTGGAGGGGGTCTGGAGAAAGGCCAAAAAGCACGTTTGGGGGCTTGGAAGGGGTCTGGAAAAGGCAAAAAAACCAATTAGGGGGTTTGGAAAAGGCAGAAAACTCCAATTTGGGGGCTTGGAGGGGGTTCGGGGAAAGGGAAAAAAGAGGGCTTGGAGGGGGTCTGGAAAAAGTAAAAATACCAAATTTGGCGGCTTGGAGGGGGTCTGGAAAAGGCAAAAAACACCAATTTGGGTGCTTGGAGAGGGTCTGGAGAAAGGCAAAAAAACCCGATTTGGTGCTTTGGAGGGGGTTTGGAGAAAGGCAAAAAAAACTCGATTTGGTGGCTTGGAGGGGGTCTGGAAAAGGCAAAAAAACCCAATTTGAGCCTTTGGAGGGGGTCTGGAAAAAGGCCAAAAAGCATGATGTGGGGGCTGGAGGGGGTTTGGAAAAGGCAGAAACACCCAATTTGTAAAGGCAAAAAAATCTCGATTTGGGGGCTTGGAGGGGGTCTGGAAAAGGCTAAAAACACCAATTTTGTGGTTTGGAGGGGGAAAACCCCAATTTGGGGGCCAAGCCCCAAATCTAGGCCCCAAATCCACAATTCCAGGCCCCCAGGCTTCCAGGCCATCCGGGGCTTGGAGGGGGTCTGGAAAGGCAGAGCTTGGGGAAGCAGAAAAGATTTGGGGGCCTGGAGGGGGTCTGGAAAAGGGCTAAAAACCCAAATTTGGGGGCTTGGAGGGGGTCTGGAAAAGGCCAAAAACCCTAAATTTGGGGCCTTGGAGGGGGGTCTGGAAAAAGCAAAACTCCAGGCCCCAAATCCTCAATTTCAGTCCAAATCCCAGCCCAAAGCAGGCTTAGAGGGGCGTGGAAAAAGCCAAAAGCCCAGTTTAAAGCTTAGGGGCGCCACCCACCCTAAACACTGAAACGCGAAAATGGAATGAACCAAAACTTTAGGGCTTAGGGGCGCCCCCTAGGGAAGAGAAAATGCTTCAAATTGCTGAAAAGCGGAATTGCTAAGGGCGCCAGCACTGCGCTGGCGAACCCTAAACTCTAAACCCTAAGCCCTAAACCCTAAACCTCTAAACCCTAAACCCTAACTACTTTTCCTTAAAGCAGCTAAGGGGCCCTCGGAGCTCTGGAAGGCGATGAAGGTGAGGAAGAGGCCGACGCCGGCCCCGATAATCTCCTTGATGCCTTGCCTTTTTGGGGGGGTAATATAGGGTTCTTAAAAGGGGTCCTAAAAGGGTTACTCTAAGGGGTAGGTTTATTAGGGTTTAGGGTTTGCTAGTGGTGTTTTTGCCGTTTTAGGGGGTGGGGGGGTAATATGGGGGCCTGTATTAATTAGAATAGGGTCTTGGGGCCCCTTAAACTAGAATTCTGGAGTGCCTTGCCTTTTTTGGAGGTCTATAGGGCTTGGGGCGTGTGAACGGGGTTTTATCACAGTTCTACAAGGGTTTTACATCGGCTTTATGCAAACTGTAAGGGTTTGATACTCTCTACATTACATAGAGTTCGATTTGAAAGCATATTTAGGATTCCAACAAATATGGGCTGTCAGGAAGGAGGAGCTTCAGCGCCACCAAGAGGCTTAGGCTTTACTGAGGTTAGGGTTTCGGATTTCAGAGTGGAGGATTTCAGGGTTTAGGGTATTCCAAAATGCCACATAGTTGCGGGAAGAGCCGGATGAGCAGCGTGCGCATGCCCGTGACGCTGAGGAATGTGAACATGCCACCGGCGATGAAGACGGCCGCGAAGCCGGCTTGCCAAGGGAGGCCGCGACCCAAGACGATGCTGAAGGTGAAGTAAGCCTTTCTTCTTCAACACCGGGCCCACAAAAGTTCAAACATTCCATGAAGGACCAACAATACGGGGACAACAAGTTTAAGCTCTCCCGCTGTCTGTCTAAGAAGCATTGGTTCCCATGCCAGGTGCAAGCATAAATGGGAAGTTGGACAGGATACCCATAAGCCAGCAGCCGCAGAAGGAAGCGAGTGCGGTAGCGCATACCAGCTGCTCCTTGATTTCCCAATACTCTGCGAGACGAAAGCTTAGGCTATGACTTTCCGTATGGTACTTAAATACCACCTTGTAAGAAGCCACAGCCTTTAATGATTAGAATACGGGTTTGGGGTGTATTATGGCATAACAAAAATCGGAACCCTGCACATAGTATTGGTAACTATTTAGGCCCCTAGATTACCACCTTCTTAAAATGCCCTGGGCTTTCAAGAGCCGAAGTTCCTTCATGTCGGGAACTGCGAGGCTGAGCATGCCGCTGTTCACCGGGAGGATGTATGCCTGGGCTTTAAAGTAACCAGGGAGAAAAAAGTATACACTGTTATTTCATAAGGGTTCCTTTTAAGAAAAAAGTATTAAAGTATGGTACTCCAAAGCCCAGATGCCATGGCCAAGAATGTGGTCAAGCCGGCACGGATCTCGGTGGTGTAGCTGGAACCAAGCCTGCTCCGATGTAGGTTGTTTTTTCTATCGCATTCTTTCTGAAGGGTGTACCATAATGCCACTACAGAAAAATTAGTGTTGATCTAACTTTCCGTCTTAAGAGTGTTAAGAAAATCTCTTCAAGAATGGCCAGGGAGCTTCTTCACATTGAAGGGGTCCTTGAAGTTCAAGTGGCTGAAGTTGCCCTTGAGGCCCAAAATCTCCAGCCAAGACGCCGAGCGTGTGGCCTTCTTCACCACAGGAGCTTCGCCTTACTGCTTACCCAATGCCGGGAGACTTTCCCAAATCATCATAGAATTTCTTACCCAAAGGCTCCATAGTAGTTCCTTTTTGGGATTACCTTATAGGATTCTATATACGAACCCCAAAAAGGAACTACTTTGGAGCCTTAGGGTATGGTATAAATGCTACATGCCACTGATATGGGGACTTAGGACCCTTCGGGCTAAGGGGTTGAGAATTTCAGGGTTGTAGAGCGTAGGGTTTAGTGTCTAGGGCTTTCGCAGAAGCAACCTAGGCTGGACTGTCAGAATAATAGTAAATTCTCAAAGCCCCCAACTACCAGAATCATGCTCTGCCTTCCAAGTACCCTTAGCCTTCAAATCCAAACTGGAAGCTTAAAGGTCGGACATCGCAACGGTCGAGCCCCATAAACACTAAACCCTAAACTCCCCAAACCTGAAACCCTACTATAAACCCTAAACCTGTCGAGCTAGGCCACTGTGGGATGTCGGCTCCATCTTCATCTCCCGCTCGCTCTGAGACGTCGTGGCCATCGTGAGAACACGGGAGGCTTGCGGCGAGGTCTAAGCGCGCACCAAGGCGACAAAGGCTGAGCCAAGAGGAAGGCCGCGGTTTTGGTTTAGGGTACGTGTTCCTGGTGATGTTCCACGCCTTTTGTGAGTGAAACAGATAAGACAAGACATGAGATCACGTGGCAAGCTGGGGTGAATCAGTGCCCCTGAATCCGAAATGACCCCCTGTAACTGCAACAACCGACAGTTTTCTCAAACTCGTCAGCTCCTGTCAAAATCCGAAGCCCTAAAGCCCGAACAGCAAGTCGTAGGTGCACCCAAAACACGCAGGGAATCGGAGATGTGAGTCGACGCGGACTGCGGCCGGAAATCCAAGGGCCTCGGATATGGTGCCCACAGCTTGACCGGGTTTCATAAGCTTGTTAGGGATTAGGGTTTAGGGTTTAGGGGTTTAGGGTTTAGGGTTTAGGGATTAGGGTTTAGGGTTTAGGTTTAGGGTTGACGGTTTAGGTTTAGGGTTTAGGGTTTGGGGTTTCATACAGTAGAAGCCAGAAAGTTGGAATATCATTATCGTAACCCGTTTAAGGTAAATTGTAGGGGGCCCTACCATTAATCCATATTCCAACTTTCTGGAATTCCCTTTTAGCTTGTTTTGACGTGGGGTTGTTCTGACGGGGTCTTCGAATTCTATGAAAACCCCTTGCTGAACAGGAAGTGCAGCGGGAATTTAGGGGTTCTACCAAGGTTTCTGTGAGAGTGCTGGTACGAGTTTCGTGGGATATGTTGAACCTGGACCCGAAACCCAGACCCTCGATCCGAACTCCTCATCCCCAAACTCTAAACCCTAAACTCCCTTCCCCTATAAACCCTAAGCCCTAAAAGCCTAAAACCCTAAACCCCAAACCTCTAAACCCTAAAACCCTACCCCCCCAAACCCCTAAACCCTAAACTCTAATGCCACCTTCAAGAGGAGGATCCCTCCACAGAGCTTCTCATCTTCACGCTCGACGCACTCCGTGATTCGGCGAGGAGGCAATCCTGCAACCCAGCTAGGGTTGATTTTTTTGGTTTAGGGAAGTTTAGGGTTACGGGATTCGGATTTAGGGTTACGGGCAAAAGGTTTGGGGTTTAGGGTTTAGGGGGGGAACCCGCGCACATGGGGATCGTGGACATCAAGGCTGTTGGTGTGAGGTTCCAGTTTTATGGTTCAGGACATCGGCTTGGGGGTGCGGGTTTCTATACTGAACTCAGAACCCAAGCAAAAATTATAATTTCAGCTGTCTTAGGGAATATAATAACCAAAAATTAAATTCTAAGTCCCCCTAACGTTTGTGGTCCAAGGTTGAGGACTTGAGCAAGTTTTTGAATGCTCCAGCACCAGGCAATACTTAGGCAGAAAAAATGCCAAGTAGGTAGTCGTTCCTACCCAAATTATTCTAAGCTACAGTAGTTTATGATATGCTGCATACTCCTGTACTATACTATACTACCTGTACTACGTTATGTTTCACTATGCTACATTCTATCTATCTCTACTACTCTTGGAGTACTTATACTATATTACTCTATGCTACATTCTATCAATCCATACTCTTTGAGTACTTGGAGCTTCCGGGTTCTCTACGTTCGAGAGTTCTCCTCCACCCGTCAAGGGCCGCTGCGGACGCGCCGACCGAGGTCGCAGAGCGTCCGGCAAAGTCATGGCTCCCAGTTTGTCTGTGTATATCTATATATGTATATATCTCTGTATATATATATATATCTATTTATGAACAAAGATATACATATGTGGTGTCTTCTTCTTTCGGAGGGAGTGGGCGGGGATTGGGGGCTACTTGGAGCTCTGTGTTTCGAGGAGTGCTGCTACGACTGCAGTTGTCACTACGATGGTGGTCGTGAGGGTGAGGTCAGGATGGGGAATGTATGCCGACGGCACGCTAAGAGCTACTGACTGTAATCCCAGCCCCCTTGATGGAGCCCCCTGAATCCTACTGAGGTCCCACTGCATACTCCAGCTCATGTGGTGGATTCGTGCCCATGTAACGCGACTCACTACTCTGTGCCATGGCGTTGAACTTGATTTCGGGCAGATGCAACAAATGCCAGGACTCGAGCGGATGGAGGCCAATCCTATGCCCAAACACCTTAACTCCAAGCTTAATAAGCCCTGAATCCCAAACTCTGAGCCCTAATCTGAACTCCAAGCCCCAAGCCCCCCCAATATCGCAAGCTCTGCCTGGTGCTCTTGCTGGGAACGTCCTACTAGAACTCGGGTACCAACCATATTTCTCTTAGACGCTCCAGTTTGGGTCGTCACACTTTCAGTTTTATAGTGGGTAACACTCTCCCAAAAAGTGTACAGTGTATCCACTCAGCTACGTTGAATTAAGGGTACCTGCAACACTACTTATTAGCTGAGCTGCTTGTGCTTCTGGATTCAGGGCATCTGGAGAGGAGAAGTGGCTGGTTCAGGTCTCGGATGTATGTTACCACTTTCCCAGTCTAAGGGTTTAGGGTTCAGGGGTCTCGGGTTTTGCGGGTTAGGGTTTCACCCGCCCGCTCGGAAAAATCTGTCGCCCAGTTTTGAATAAGGGTCTACTGCTGGATATCGTGCGAGCTTGACCTTGCCATAGGGCCTCGGTGCCCCTGCCCAAACAAGGTGAACCTTCGAAGCCCTAAACCTTAAACCGAATTAATGGAGGAATTCTTACACCCCAAACTTTTAATTAACGCTTACCTGTTCAGCCCTTCAGTTGAGCTTGCTTAAGGGATGCCAGCCTCTTCGGGGAAGAGTTCTATGACGGGGCGGAGGCTGAGCTCAAAATCAACAGCTGTCACAGAAAGCCTTGGTAACTCGCCAAACCCTACTAAAGCTTCAACTCAGAATCCGATATCCCAACAAGCCCCAAGCAAAAAAGCCCCAAACCGGAAACCTTAAGGACTTAACCTTGCACCCAGGTGGTATCCCCCTCTTGCTTGCGCGAGGGAAACGCTCCTTAGGCACGACGAGGGCTCACGCATGTAGGGAGCAGAACAGGACCGAGTCCTCTGCTTCCTTTCGCCTCAACTGCTTCTCAAAGCAGAGGGTAGACTGAGCTGGTACTCGTCCACAGCAAAGTCCGTCGGCAGCTGATCCTCATTTTCTTTCAAGCACGGCATGCTCTCTCGGAGCAGCTGCGCGAAGCCTTGCAACCCCTTGATTGATAAAACATGTTCTTGTGGCCTCGCAACCCCTGAGGCACCGTCTGACTTGTAAATCGATTCAGGAGCTTGGCTGTGTTCTGCTTGGACACGAGGTGGCGCACCCCAGGCCAGTTGTCTTGAAGCGAACGTCTCTCGAAAACTAGAAGAACCATCCTCACTCTTATATAACACTTTCCCAGTGTCGACCCAGCATGTACAGACAAACAAAGGCTATCCTTGGAGTCTATGCGAATGTCTTGTGGTTTTCCGCAGAGTTTGCCGTGTAATGCCCTTGATTCATTCAAACCCTTGACCCTGCCCAGGATCCCTCCCAACACCGGCAGGACCACTGCCGCACAGGAGGCGCGAAGGTCGGCTTCGTGGCAAAGTCGAGGCACTTCTTCAACAGGAAGATGTTGCAAACCTTACGTCGCAAACCCCCAACAGCCTGACTTCTGCACATCTGGATTCACAGGTTTGGATCCTGGTAGTAATCCCTTGTTGGGGTGGCAAATGGTTCGCATCTTCACGGTGTAAAAAAGGGTTCCTCTAATACACTTCGCCACTGAATTCGAGCTTCTACAACGCACTTCACGTCTAGTACCATTATGAATGGGCTCCACGTCCACCAGGCCCTATCAACTCTCTGCACATTTAGAGCAAAACTTCGCAGTGGGTTCACGACATACGTCCGCACGTCCGACAGCAAGGCCGTCAAGCAATCTCAAAGGACGGACAAACACCGAGGCAAGACCCCTGAATCGTAACACCAGGGCATCCTTGGCAGTTGCATCGTTACAGAGGTTTTCTTCGCAGCAAGGATGGCCTTCCACATCTGAGCTCGTAGGTTGACATACAAGCATATGCATGCACAAAGATGCTGAAGGACGGCAGAAACGTGTGGCAACGATGGCGTGCTTTGTATCCGAGCCTTTCCGAGACAAACCCGCTGTTGATCAATGATTGAATCGTAACCCTTACACTACACGCTGAAGCTGCCTTCCCCGTTAAAAGCCTAAAACCCACGCCACATCCGAAATCTTAACCATCCAACGAATCCCGCAGTCCCAGGCCAACCGGAAACCGGGACCCCATGATCCCACCACCCCGAACCCTGAACTCCAAATCCTACCACCTGGTTCCTTTTTGGGACTACTTCAAAAAGGAACTACTAAAGTTACTAAAGACGAAGAACCCCGAAGAGCAAGTCAAACAGGACTCCCCCTTCTCACTTCATCCCTCCCACCTCGCAAGGACCGACAAATCTGAACGTGGCCCTTTCTATACGCCCTTAGAATCAAAATACAGAACATATCTTTAACATTCTCTTGGGTGTTATATGAACAAAAATAAAAATAACTCCTAAGGAAACCATAGTTTGTCCTAGCCTAAGCATGAAGCTGACCTGCAAATGTCAGAAGGCCCCGAGACCCTGATCCAGGATCCCTCGTAGGGGCCTTAGTACATAGAACAGGGTTCTGGGGCATGCCATGCTACAATTCTCGAGGAGCTCTCAATAATAATACATGTTTGTAATCAGTCCGTTTCCAGAGCCGCCGGCACAGATGCGCTCGACAGGATCGTCACAGGGTAGTGACTCTACCTAAACGATTTGGGAGGCTAGGAATGTTCAGGTGTAGCGACACCGTGTCTGGTTGTATGGTCTGGGGTTTGAGGCTTTAGTGGATGGGGTTCAAGGGTGAGTCTAGGTTCTACAGTAGGGCTTGAAGTTTATGGGGCAAAGCTTCTGTGCACTGGGCTTCACGGTTGCAGCAATGGGTGTCATGGTTCAGGGCTTTTTGCATGCAGGATTTGGATTCAGGCTGTGGGACTTTGGCGTTTAGAGTTTAGGTTTAGGGCTATGGGTTAGGGCGAGGTTTCTTGAAGTGGCCTGTGTAAATTTATACATATATATATATATATGTGGATATTCTCTCACGGGTTCACTGATTTTTTTGGTTTTGGGTATGTGTGTACTTCTACTCTTATACATGTATTTATGTACTTATCTGCTTGTTATCCGTTGTATACGTCTGTAAAAATACGTCTGAAGATAACCAATTGAGGGCCTTGAGCCCTTTGCCGTTGGTGCTAGAGCTCTTGCGATGTTTCGGGCCCATGAACCCCTCAGAAAAAGATCTTCGCAGCTTGGGGTTTGTAGGATTCAGGAATGTAGGATGTAAAGAGTTAGGGATGTAGGGATTTAGGGTTTTGAGATCCTCTTCGGAAGACGAAAAAAGTTGTAAGCTGGCCCTGTGGCCTCGCTAGGAAATTAGTCTTCTGAGGCACTCCAGGGAGAAACTGCGCGGAAGCGCTGCACTCGGGGCGACCTAGAGCACTCATTCATGCTTACCCAGTATCCTAGGGGAACTCATGGAAGGCAATTTTTTGGATTCTATAGGGATAAAAATACCAACAAAAGGTCGAATATTACCTACTCTGGTAACATATCCGAAAAGAGGCCTCAAGCCTTTTTCTTTACGATTCAGGCCTCGCAAATCGATGTCTGAGACTCCGGCACTGTGCGGCTGGCCATCGCTTAAACGATCCCTGGGCCGTGGGTCGGACCGGTACCGGGTTGGGCGCTTGAGAGCTAGGGATTAGGGTCAAGATTTGACATTTGTGGTCTGGGCCGTGAGGTTTCAAGATTTAGAAGGTCAGGGCTGAAGATCATTCTGAACAGTTTATTCAGTTGCCCAGCGCATTTGGTACAGACTAGCGCGCCACTGTTATCTTTTGTACCGCGTGGGTCCCTTTTGCGGAAACAAAAGCAACGGCTCAGGACCTTAACCCTCAACCCCTGAACCTAATGCTCCTACTCCGTTACATACACCACCTGGCAGCTAGACAGCCCATGTGTGACCTGAAAGTCCAGGGAATCATAATGCTCAACCGGATAACCCAGAAGATGGATTCGGGTTTAGAGCTGAATTGCAAGCATGCTCTTGGGGACGCGGGCTGCAGTGATGATGTGGAGCAAGGCAGGGCAAAGGGCAGGAGTTGGTAAGCGTGTTGCCGGCACTTCACCCTATCTTCGTGTGTTGGATCCTGAACAATGTAACTAAGTACGCGCTTTAGGAGGTCTGACATTACAAGTGTCCAAGAAACCACAGGAGATACCAGCAACTAATAATTGTTGGGGCAATGTCCTGCTCAAACCCATACCGGTATAAACCTATCCAGCCTTGACCCAGAAACGACCCAAACCCTAAACCCATCAACCTCAAATCCAAAACCATAAACTCAGAACCCCCAGACACGAAGCAACTTCAAGGAGCGGGCAGCAACGCAGAGACCTGGCAAACTAGCTTTTGCTTGTGAGTCTGTGAACTGTTCAGGCGCGAACGGGTTCTCTAAACCTGTAGAGGTTGGCTGGTGTAGCGGTTTCGAGCTTAGTAAGTTTAGTTACCAGGGGCCCAGAGCCTGAACCCTAAAGCGAGCCTACTGACCCCCGGTGTCCAACCTTTTGCCGTTGGGGGGGGGGGGGGGGCGAGTCGGCGAGGGTTCTGGAGAGGCGGCGATATTCGAAGCACCTTCATCGGTCTGGCACACACCGAGATCCGACTCGGAGACGATCTCATTAAACCCTGAAGCCTGCATTGGTGCTGTGCTGAATCTACCACCCCCCCCCCCTCTAAAAAAAAAACATGAAGCAAGAGGTCGTCCAGCTCGAAGCAAATGGGGCAGAGGCAATCTTTGAAGTCCGATCTCTGGATCTCAACACTGCCTCAGAGAAACATGGTAGCTATATGACTTCAGGAATACCCCTTGATTCCAGGAAGTAAGAGTTCTCTGGAAATACACCTGTGCCCTCGGCATCAATACAGATGGTCAGGAGTACCGTCGGGGCGATGTTCATCGTCATGCTATCCGAGCCTGGTCAGGCAAGTGGTTCTCGGGTTTAGGACAATCGGTTTCTGGTCTGGGAGATTCGGGAAGCTGTAGGGCATCGGGCTTTGGGAATCAGTGTGCATGTCAAGACACCCTGAAGACCAAAAACCCAAAAGATCCACAGCCTTAACCCTTAACCCCATAGACCCCTAAACCCTAAACCCCATAACCCCTACATACTAAATCCGAAAACCTGAACCCTAAGTCCCCAAACAGGCGTAACCTAGAGTTTCCGGGTCAGAGCTTGGGAAATGGTGCCAGGTACTGAGGAATCCCCGAAAATGCAAACCTCTACTGCATGATATGGGGCCTCGACTATGAAAACTACGAAAACTAGGCTGTTGGGGGGGGGTATAAACATGTCGCTAGATCGCACCACATATGGTTCCTATTTTGAGAACTACTCTTCGGGTTTGTGCTAATCTCACCAACATACGTAGAAAAGGCCTTTGGGGAATACCGGTAGTTCCCCGGAGCCAACCAAAGCGAGAGCATACATCCAGAAACAGAGAAACCTAAGCTCGCGTCTGCGGTATCAAGCATCGCGGCGGCACCTCTCCGGAAACCATATGTGCACGTCTGCGAGTGGTCTAGAACAGCCTGATTCAAGTCCTCAAGGCAACTTGAAGGGTGCTCCGCATGTTATGGTTCGGAGTGAGAGCACCTATGTGATATGCGGCCTGCCTGGCTTGCCAGCCTCGTCTGCAGCTCGCAACCCGCAACAGATGCGAAACGGTGTGCTCCAAAAAATGCGCAACTGCTACGGCGTTCGAAGCAAATTCAGTTTATAATCGGTAAAAAACAACCAGTAGAGGATATGTCGAGGCAACCTTGCGAACACATCATAGCCAACAAAGCTACAAAACATCTAGGTGAAACCCTGCATACCAAAAAATGCAATCCTGAACATGTATATATATATATATACAAATACAAATATACGCAAGTGCCTTGGTTCTGGTCAGTCTTATTGAGACCGGGTTAGTTCAAGTCTTACTGCGAACAGCCAAGTGAAAGCACATCACGCAGCATGCCTCTGGTGAAGTGGGCCGACGTCCCTCCGGGTGGACACCTGTGCTTGAAGTACCCGGAGTTTGCTAGTAGTTTCCGCTCTATACATCTGTATATATGTAGTTTTTATGTATAGACATATTTGTGTAAATGTACATACACATACGCACATCCATAGACATAGAAACACACACACACACACACACAAGCACACACGTGTGCGCGCACGCGTTCATACAGACCCGCACCCACACTTAGAAAACATGGGGGCTTATTACTCGTGAGCTGCCTCGTCCTGTAATTATTTCGTCATGCTGCGACACAGACTTCAGGTTTCGTACTTGTTTTTTTGGAGGAGGAGGGGGGGGCAGGGCCTTCAAGGATAAAACGCACGTCCAGGGAAAGACTTCGACTCACGGAAGCTCCCACTGTGCCGCGTCCTCTGTCGATAGCCAGTTCCTTCCAGCTTATGCTGAGTGCGTCTATGGGGCATACGTGCCCAATCATCATGGTACTTCCTAGGAGAGAAGTGCTACTTTCGACAATATAGGCCCTTAGGACCCTTCAGGAGCCGCATGTTCATAGATTCGAGGCATACCAGTGTTCACGGCAGCCGAATTGCTGCAGCAGATATTCTATGGCAGCCGAATGAAAGAAGCTTTCATGCATGGGCCTGTAGGTTCCATGAACCTGTACACCTAATGTAGGGGCCTGAAAAAATTAGAATAGGGTTTTGGGGCCCATAAATTATACGTTAATCATAATAAGGAACCCCCAACCATAATATTGGTAATTATTTCGGCCCCTATATCAACGACCACCGCAAGCCCTCGAAGCTGAACCCTGGAGCCGGAAGCTTGAACTCTGAACTTAGGAGTAAATAGAATGAATTTTTAATTTTGGCTCCTATAATCCCTAAGAAACAGTTAAAATTATATTCTTTGCTAGGGTTCTAAGTAATTACTTAGAAATCAATTTTCAATTTTGGTTCCTATAATCCCTAAGAAACAGTTAAAATTATATTCTTTGCTAGGGTTCTAAGTTCAGTATAGTAAATCCCGGGCTGAGCCCCACCACGTGTTCCATCCAGGCCTGCATTGAACGCCTGGAGAAAGACGCAGAATGCCTGAGCAGCTTTTACAGGACATCCTCTCTCCAGAAACGGAAGGGCTACAGTATACTATCTTAAGTTAAGTCGCCCGAGGCTTCGGCGTTTGACTTAGTATCTACCCATGCTCTCAACTCTCCTTCCCAGACTTTTTGGTACTGGCCCGGCCACATGAAGCGAATACATTCGAGTGCATATACATATCAATATACAAGTACATGCACATGTAGGTGGATACGTAGATGTACAAGAACTCTGCATACACCCTTAAACCCAAATGCAACTTAAAGTCTCCGCGAAAGTAGTGCAATATTATGCACTAGATGCTCGCATTTTCATCAGTAATCTTCCGACACCAGTCTAATCCCTAGACCCTCTGTGGAAAGCATTCGCCAAGGCACTACTCGAGAGAACAACGGGAGGCCGCGGCGATGCGCACGCCACCTCGTCACAGGATGCCTAAAAGGACACTGCTCAGGCTTTCACCTTGGGGCTTCGGGTTTCGCTTGACGTCTATGCTTGGGCTCCGGGGTTTAGGGTTTATACTTGAAGGCTCATGGGTTGATATGCATTGTTGCAAGTCTAGAAATCGTGGCTTTATGCAATGAAAGCTGGAGACTCCTTCGAGATAGCTTTACTTATTTAGGGCTCTGCCCAGCTACCCTCTGTTGAACATGTTGCCAATCATGGGATCCGTGGCAAAACGAGTACCTATGGAAGTCCCGGAAATCCTGTGCTCAGCATCTCAGAAGTCTCGGGACATTTTAACCCGAAGAAAAACTTGAATGATACGTTAGAAGGGGCCCCCACCCTATAATAAGGACTATATTAGGGCCCTACTATATTTCCTATTGTACCGCTGTTACAGGGTGGGGGCCCCTTCTAAATGATACCCCGCAAATCTCAGTTGCCGAAGTACCACACGCCCTAACCCCGAGCTTGAGTGGACCAACATGGCCCGGCACCCGGCCCAAAGCACTGGAGCTTAAGATTGCCTCTGGAGTTTGGCAAGTGTCGAGTACAACAGACAAAGGCGACATCGTCCCTGATGCCGTAAGCTGGAATGCCCGGAAACCCCATCGCAAATAAGCACTTCTACAACACACGAACCCCCGCATTGAAACTCTCATACACCGACCTTGACCCTTACACCCCAAACTCTAAACAATGTAACATGTTCCAAAGCCCAAACCAAATACACGCCCAAACTCGTGGACCCAAAGTGTCCTAAGTACCTATACGGCACGATAAGGGTCCATTAACGGTCTTTCTGACACTGAACTGTGAGGGTTTAGACAAGATTATCCAGGCTTGGTGCGGGGCTGCCCAGTCCAATAACTATGTTGTGCTGTGCAATGGGATCGCAGACAAGGGGACCTCCTTCGCATTCTCCACCTGCTCCTCTCGCATCAGCTTGATCCTGCGAGTGGGGTAAAGATTTGTTGACGTAGGCAATAAGCTATGGCATCTACGAAATGCATTATGACATGTGAGTGCATCTCGGGATTGGAATTTCGAGCCCTTTAAAGCTCCCCTCGAAGTTGCCCTGCACCCTAAACCTTAAACCCTAAACCCCCATTAAAACTCAACCGAACCCCAAACCTTAGAACTTAAACAAACCCCAATTAAAACTAAACCCCCTAAACTGTTTTCCAGAACCAAGGCCTGAACTTTCTGGTTCAGGCCTTGGTTCGGGGAATGCTTTGTGTGGGATCTTTTCCTTTAGCTCGCCGTGCCTCGAGCATCCTGATACCAGGGGACAACAGATGAGCACACATACTCATCAGAAACCGAGTAAGACCCTCTCAAACGTCGGTGAGTGCGAGGAGTGCCCCCGCCGTATTTGGGGCTCTGGAGTTTGGGGGCCAGTTCGGCTTCATGGCATTTCGGTGGGTGCCTGCCTCTCCCCAAAAACATAAACCCCCCATCAAAAAAAGAAAACATTGAAAATGCCGACACCAAGCGTGGGACGGACAGCGTCCTGGAGTGCATGTGGGCGCGAAGATCGGCTGATGTCACTTTGTCCATCAGCTCGCGAGCATACCTGTGGTGCTTTCTTGCGGTGGACTCTGATGGGTAGGTTTTGTGTGGGTCAGACAGGGTATGTAACGGCTTGTATCTTCTGCTTCACGGGGAGCAGTCCAAATTGTCATGGTCAGGAAATAATGTGTCTGCTAGATCTGCCCCTTACGGAATTCTGGACCACGTTCCTGGATAAGGACCGGTCGATTCGCTCCCAGTGCCTGTGCTTCATACGCCCTAATCCTAACAGGAATTTTCGATGTCTGCCTTAGAAGGCCGAGTCTGCTAAGCTAAAGATTGAGATGATAGCAAAGCTGCGTCACAAAGGGCTGAAGCCACGGCAATGACCAGAACTGTATGAGACGTCTTCACACATCGTCTAATATCTGGACAACTGGGAAAGGGCCAACTAGGGCTTGAAGTTGTATACATTCTGTCCAGGCATCCACTTACTAGCTGCGGTGTTCCTCGAAGCAGGTATGATCTGGCAAAGGCAAAGGGCACTTCTGTACCGAAGTGTCCAGCAGGGACGCGTCGTTTTCGACATCCTTCCTGCACCGTTTCGGGCTTTGGCAGATTTCAACAGATTCAAAAGTGCTTATCTTGAAACCCTAGGTGTGAAACAGGTGTGAAACATACACCCTACATGCTTGACGCCCTCTACTTCCGAAAACACACACCAACGGGTCACGTGGAGGGCTTGGGGTTTAAGGTCAACCTAATTGGGTTTGTCTTTGGTTTCGGGAATCTGCCGACTGGGCCTGAATAACTCGCATGTGCATGGTTGTCAAAATTAGGGTCCCGTTTTGGGTCCTTGTTATGATACAGCACCTAATATTTAGGATACCCCAAAAGGGACCCATGTGGATTAGAAGCAAGCTTCAGGCTAGGAGGCTGAGGATCATTATCAGGATGACGAGCACAGCAGTGCGGATAAGCAGCTCTCGTAGTACCAACATTCACTGACAACAAGGGCACTTTGGGCGGGGAAACTTGTCGGTTTGCATTCTGCCGTTTTGCTAGCGAGCAGGAGCACGGTTCTCTTGGGCTTTGGGGAAGCCGGGAAGCATTTAGAACTTTGGGGTGGAAAGCTTCAAACGGCTTAGCATGCAAGCCTCTGGGATCCGGAATCCTATGGTCATGACTATAGTGCTACACTAGAGGAGGGCCTAGCGCGCAGAGCACCAGTGGGGCTAGGCCCCACCCCACGAACAGAGGAAATGCAAAATGACTCTGATGCGCTTACATCTGTCATGGTCACTGTTGGTGAGCAACGCCCAGACTAAGGTTTTACACTCTGACGCTGAAGTTGCACAAAGACCTGGGGACACTCACCAAAAAAAGGAACCACAGTGCAATCTGCAGTACTGTCAGGTGCACCTTAGGCACCCGATGATTCGATTTTCCTACTTCAGGCGTGTAAATTAGTTGTAATTCGGGTTGAAGCCGCAAAGCATCGGCAGACCCCGACAACAAACCGACTCAGTATGAGCGCGAGTTCGGCCGTTCATCAACGAACCTATATACGGCCTAAATCCCAAGCTCTAAGCATTAAACTCGAAGCTCCACGTCCCAACCAAGTTTAGGTGTATAAGCCCTGGTAGATGCCTGGTTCTTCGCGTCAGAGAGCTGCGAAAGAAGGCATCGGCGTCAGCCTCGCTAACCCCGAGCATCCAAGCACCTACAACAGCGGCCTCAATGACTAGAGTAAGGCTGAAAGGGTTGTTATAATGTTCAAAAGGGCTAGTATTGGAAGAGGGTTTTGAGGTATATGATAGTCTGGCCATATCGGAGTATGCGACGACGACTGTTTATTTGCTCATTGTTCCCATTGCTACCACTACCACTACCACTACGACGACGACTACAAGAGAATAAGTTTTGAGGTATATGATAGTCTGGCCATATCGAGAGTATGCGACGACGACTGTTAATTGCTCATTGTTCCCATTGCTACCACTACCACTACGACGACGACGACGACGACTACTACTACTACTACTGCTACTCGTACTACCAGTGCATAATTACATTACTAGTGCTGCTACTACTACTACTACTACTACTACTACTACTACTACCACCACTCTTACTACAACAACGACGACTACTACTGCTGCGAGCACGACGACTACTACTTCTACTACTTCGACTACTGCCTGACCCAAATTCAAAAGGACGAAGAATCGCACCTTTGCCGGCAAAGACCAGGAGCCAGAGCCCTATATCAAAGGGGAAAAGGAGGGACCCTGAATAAGGACCCCTGGGTATATACCCTTAATATAGCTATTATATTCGCATTATATAGCCCATTATAGGGTAGGGGTTCTTCATTAAGAGCCATGTTTGGCCCATTACCGACTCTGGGCTGCGGACCGAGACTTTCTGCTTGTCCATGAGCATATCTCCCAAGTACTTACCTGGGCTTTGTGGCTCAGGGTTAGGGTGTAGGCGTTCAAGCTTTGGGGATTACTGTTGCAGGGTGTAGGTTTAGGATTATAGAGCTTCGGAGTAGGGCTTAGAGCTGTAAGGTTTAGGGCCTACTGGTGCTGAACGCAAACAGCACAGGCAAACCTTCTATTGACAGAAAATGTGTCCGTATTATGACAGCAGCTGAAGGCAATCTATGGAGCATCTGAAGCAATAAAAATGGTCTGCGATTTCAACTGAGCGCTTCGCATTCAAGATTAAGGTGCTAGGATTTGGGTTTAAAGGCGTCAGTCTAGAAACCAAGTTAATTCAGACCGCTGATTTATGAACTTCGGTCTTGTTGACACCGCCTTTTTGGGGATCCCAGCTGGCACTTCGTCAGCGGACGGGGGTTGATTAATCAAGGTCGGAGTCTGAATTCAACTCGATGCCGGGTCAACACCTTGCTTCAGACACTACAGGGCTCTAATACGGGAGTTTCCGAAAATAGTGGAAATAATAGGCTCCTTATTAGAAGGCCCCCAGAATAAGGTACCTCTACTTTTCGGAAACTCCCATACAGACCCTGGAGAAGAGTGCTAGGGGCATGTCGGGAAGGGTTTTTTGCATTCTAATGGACAGCCGCGAAGAACGACTCGAAGCTATTCATTCGGGCGGCCCCCTCGCATACTCGCAGTAGATATGATATGGGTGGTTGACAAGATTGGGGTTCCTTTTTGGGTCCCTAATATAATGCGGCACCTAATATTCAAAGTGCCCAAAAAGAGACCCTAATTTTAATTGACAACCACCCATATCATTTACCGATCAAATTCCGATGGTTTTAAGGTCTCCAGGCCTGAGACCTCGAAACCTTGACTCCAAGTTACGAATTTCAGGATGTGTTGGGAATATATGGGTGGTTGTCAAAATTATGGTCCCTTTTTGGGCACCCTAAATATTAGGTGCCATACAAAAATAGGGACCCAAAAAAGGGACCACAATTTTGACAACCACCCATATGGGTTTCGGGGCTAAAGCTTTCATACCAGGGTGCAAAGTGAAATCCCCAGTGAAAGCTCGGGACTGCGAAGGGAAAGCAGCACGTACCTGCCAACTTTTATTGCACTATGTCGCTCGGGGGTGGCTGCTTGGTTCAAAGTGGTCCTTGCATGACTATGCAGCTATAACTGCAGTGCCGTTGGTAGCGAAGGCGAGTCGTGTTTGCTAGTGCAGCTGCCTTGGATGTTTGCCTAAAAGTGCTTTGGTAAGGGCCCAGCTGCAACAGCACAGCAGCACACGATTTTATGTCGTCGTTGCAATCGTCATGGTCCAGGGCTTGAAAGACATGACATTGATATACCTCAATAAGGAAGACCTATTCGTTACTTGGGACCCTGCTGAGTACGGTAGGATCGGGACCCCAAGATTGGAAACAAGCCTAGGTTCAGGAAGTGGGGGTGGGTTAGGATGCCTTAGGGGTTACATTTGTGGGCAGGTTTTCGGGTGAAAGGGTTTGGGTCTGAGGATTTAGGGGTTTAGGGTCCCGGCGTTCAGAGTGTCGGGCTTCCGGGTTTTATGTAGGGTGAAGACCACCACCGAGAGCACACAGAGACCTCCTGAAAGTCTGCCTCTTTATCGCCTAAATAATGGGATAACTGCTGTCCTGGTTCCTGCCCTGCCATGTACTCACCAGAAGGTCCAGGACACCAAAGAAACATGTTGTGCTCAATGAGCGACGACAGCGGTTGATCCTAATCCAGGAGCCTTAATAATTAGAACAGGGTTTGGGGGGTTGCATTATATTTGAGGAATCGTATTCGTACTGAAAAAGACACAAACAGGAGGAAGCAGTTCAGGATTAGGGGCTACCTCATCCCCCAACTAACCATGTACAGAAATCATAAGACTAAGCGTAAAGAGAAGCAGGTTGCCAGGCTCCCTTCGAGGAGGCAGCAGTTCAGGGTTCGGGTTTACCTTGCCCCCAACACACCTACCTCTTCAAGGACTTGTATAAAGAAAACATACTAAGTAAGTACAGAGAGCGGCAAGTTGTATGTTTACCCGTTTAGGAAGCAGCTCAGGATTTCGGGGACTCGAACCCTATAGACAAATACAGCTAAGCTCTTAAATGTTAAACAATAATTACTCACCATCACCTAGACAGCACTTAGCACCTTCTCTGGAGAACAGCCAGGCCACCAACAAAAACAGCTGCGCAATCCAGTGTATAGGGATACAAGAGTCTGAACAATCAGCCATCCGAATGGTGCCGCAGTCCCATTGTCGATATTCCGTAATAACCCCCTAAGCCCTGTTGGCACTATCAGGGCTTCTGTACCCTAAACCCTAAACGCGCGAGACCCTAAACCCAAAACGCCCTAAACCCTAAACCCTAAAAGCCCTAAATTCCAAACTTTAGGAGGCTTCACCCAGCACAAAGGCTGAGCCCAGCACACCTTTGGTAGTCTGCTTTCGGTCCCAACCTCTGGGTGAAGAGTTTAGGGGTTTAGGGATTTAGGGCTGAAGGTTTCGGGGTTTAGGGTTTAGGGCTGATGAAGACGCTCTTAGCTCTGAGCTTTCGGTTCCAACCTCTAACTTTCTAACCATGAAGACACGCTGGTTTTGAAATCAGACACGCTGCCATCCGCTGGCTTCCTTTTGAGGAACTGACTTTTCGTTGTCCAAGCCACAAAAACTTTTTTGCTCGGTGCAGATTGCATGCTACATGCTGTACGAAACTGCACATATGTAGGATCACAGGTCTTGTTGGTTCAAGCTTAGGGGCCCGTCTAAACCCCCAACCCTAAACCCCCTACTGCAGAAAAGAACCCTTCTCCCCATCCGTTGTGCTTGGCTGCCTACACGGGGCCCGCGCCTGTCGGCACTCCAAACCGCGGGGCCTTGGTGATGCGGCATTTTGGTGGGTCTGTTGTTTGGGTTGAGGTTTAGGGTTTAGGGATTTAGGGGTGTAGGTTTTTAGGGCTTCGGGCTTGTAGGCTTTAAAAAGGCATGAGATGGCAGGGGGGTAACAACAGTTTGTTGTTGTCATCTGAAGGGCTTAGTGAACGATTTTCTTGGGGCGTGTTTTGATAGCGTGGGATTCGAGGGCTTGGGATTTGAAGTTGAGGATCTGGTGTCGAAGAAAGCTGTAATTTCCAGAATGCTTACAAGTGTTGGGACAATGATTGCAGAAGTTCGGGCCGTGGTCAGAAGGGCATACTCCAGGTTAATCTGGAGATGAGCTGCACTTCCGGGGTCGTCATTGCTTGAAATTTCTGATTTCACGGTCGTAGAATCGTAGAACAACCCCAACGCGACTAAATTCTGCACCCTGCAATCTTCCTGTGCTGAGCACCTACGGTTTCCACGTTTGAAGCATGATCACCTCCAGAGTATCAGCCGCGGCAGCAAACTGACGAGCATCCCGAATCGGCTTTCCTATGAAACATGCAGGCGTGGGGGCCTTTGGGGTCTAAGGGAAACTTGGAAACTTCTGGCACATGTCACGAAAGATGAACCTGCAGCAAGACTACCTATAGTCTCCATAGTAGTTGCTTTTGGGGGGTTACCTTTTGGGATCCTTAATATAGAATGTGTTAAACCAAAAAAGGAACTACAAGGGAGACGATACGCAATGGCCTCCCATGGACTGGGTCCCTTCTTTCGCCAAAGGGCACATACAGCGCGTCTCCCGGGAGAAGGGTCGCTTCCTTAACGTGAACGGCTTAGGGTTTAGGGCTTCGGGCTTAGGGCTTAGGGTCTAGAGCTTCGGGTTTAGGGCTTAGGGTTTCGGGCTTAGGGTTTAGGGTTTAGGGCTTCGGGTTTAGGGCTTAAGGTTTAGGGTTTAGGGCTTAGGGTTTAGGGTTTAGAGCTTAGGGTTTAGGGTTTAGGGCTTAGGGTTTAGGGCTTCGGGTTTAGAGTTTAGGGTTTCCAGGGCTGCGACGAGCGCTGGAAACAACAGAGTCTCAAAGGCTCGCATGTGCAGTTTTAGGATACTTTGAAGAGGACCAGATATATGGCTCAAGTCTTCTATGCTGTCGAAAGGGAGCCACCTGACTACGACCATCTTCTTGGGTCATTAGTCATGACTGGCTGGAACTAAACAAGCTAGCGTTGATGTATAAAGTACGACTACTTGCCAAACCAGCTGAGCATTGCGATCCTGCATCCATTTTCTGTAGTGTTTAGTCTTATGTAGCTAGCCTTTGACCCAAGGCATCCAGAAAGACGTCCCATCCACAACCTGCTTCATGAACGAAGGTCCCATGTTATCCCACATGCGCAGCCTTGCTTCTGATATTGGAGCCTCGAAAGCTGGGAATGCTCCTCTACGGCTCGTACCTCATTACACTCGGAAGAAAGCCTTCTGGAATACCTCGCCAGATGCAGTAATTAAAAAGCACTTTCGTACAAGGACAGGGATATGCAAACTCTCAACCCTGAACCTTACAAACCCTAAACCCCAAACCCTAAAACCCTGAAACCCCCAAAACCCTAAACCCCGAAACCCTGAAAAACCCAAAACCCTAACCCCCCCTAAACCTGAAGTCTGAAATCCCCCACATCTCCGGGCCCCCGGCCAGCAGCGGCTTTGGCCGCGGGGCACTGACCGGGAGGCCCTGCAGGGGCGGTGCCAAGAGGATCCTCGCAGATCTCGCCACACATGGGAGTTTCCGAAACTTCGGGGTGTTGCCGCTTATAACAATACTAACCAAAGGTAAGTTATAGGATTCTTAAGGTTCCTATAGTATAGTACCCTTATAGGTCCCTTATAGTAACCCTGATAGACCCGTTTATAAGGCCCCTTCCACTCCCTACTTACCAAAGGTAAGCTGAAGGTCCTCTGCTCTCCCAACAGTTGAAGCATCAAGGAGTCGGACTCCACCAGAAGAGGTGGCCTCTCAGCAGCTTCGGGGTCTTCGGTTTAGGGTTTAGGGTTTTAGGGTTTAGGATTTTCGCCCTTTGCTTTTGAGTCAGTGCCGGGTAGGGTATGGATTTAGGGTTTGCTCTTAGGGCATGGGACTGGAGACTTGCAGCTTCCGTATTATAGGGGCCTTAATAATTAGAATAAGGTTTTGGGGCCGCTATACTAGAATTACAATAAGGAACACCGAAAACGGAATTGGGAAATATTTAGGCCGCGCGCGCCCCTATAGTATCAGAGAGCCTGAGTCTGCCCTGGGCACGACTCTTTACCTGCACCTAAGACCGCTTACGTCCCAGTCGCCCCTCCTCACCCTCCTTGCATTGAAGCGATAAGAAGAGGCCCCTGCAACTAAGCTTTCAGCTCTGGATCTTCAAAACCTCCTACCATTGCCTGAAGGACCAAATGACCCATAAAAAGGTAGGGGCCCTATACCCATATACTATGAATCCCTATATGGTATATGAACCTTAAACCCTTTTAGGATTCATTTCGTCCTTAAGGTGCTTCGAAGTTCGCTATGTTCATTCGGAGTGCGCCCTGGTATTTTCGAGAATTGTTATGAATATTCTGTCCCTTACTATTGCCATTTTGTTACATGGCTACAAATACTTGAAGTATGATCGGGCCCCTAGCCGATGATGCGATGATGCATGTTGCCGCTTCTTTCTTCCACTGCGCGGTTCGAGACCCTGAAGGTAAAGGGAACTCCAGAAAGTGGGAATATGGATTAATGGTAGGATCCCCTATAATTTACCTTAAAGGGGTTAGGATAATCATATTCCAACTTTCTGGCCTTTACCTTAGGACCCAGAACCTGGCAGAGGCCCAGACTCGTGGCTGTCCGGCGGATCGATGAGAACTTTGCTTGTAACCTCAGAGTTTTGCGGATCTTTTGGGGGTCACTTAGGGCGACTTAGGGGCTAAGATTTCTGTGAGGTTGAAGCTTTTGGGGGCTTTGGGTGGCTGGGCCTTGAATAGGAGTCTATAAAACCCATCGCATCAGCTTCCGCCAAAAGAAGGAACCGACGTCCTCTAAGTGCAGAAACCCGTAAAGGAACCCTTATAGACACCTTATAGTCACCCTATAACGCTATAGCTATTCTAATTACTAAGTCCACATGCTTTGCTTGGCCTGATTGCCCTGGGCACCGGTCTGCGGTTTCGGACGGAGACCCGAGAAAATGAGTCCCTTACCTTTGGTTAGTAGGGAATGGAAGGGGCCCTATAAAGGGATCTGATCTATAAGGGTTACTATAACGGTACTATAATATAGGGGCCTTAAGAATCCTATGACTTACCTTTGGTTAGTAGGGAATGGAGGAATGGGGTATAATTATAACTACTATTACAGCAATTCTTCCATTCCCTACTAACCAAAGGTAAGGTCCTGGATCGCTTGCGTATGTGGATGCACGCTCTCACTGGTGCTGTTGGTTTCTCCAAGTTGCTGTAAGGAGGGACTGGCTCCAGCGTTCTCGTCTTGGCGGCTGTTCAGGATGGCTTTCACACCCTGGATGTGCTGCAGTCTGGTCGCCATGGTTGCACGGGGGGGGGGTGCCGATTCTGTCGAAAAGCTTCAAGCATTAGTGGGCATTAAATGCGCTAATGGGTTAGGGTTCAATGCGGTGAGCGGATACGAAACCCCAAGGGATCAGTGAACCAAGGCGATTAAAACTGTGCACTTCTGTTTAGGAGCTCAGGGTATACATAGGCCAAGCAGTTGATTGTTTTAATCGCTGAAGGTCGGTTCACATGGATCTTAGAAAACGCGTCGAGAACCCGGAACTCCCAGCCCAAAGCCCAGAAACTCCTGAACCTTGTGTCAAAACCTCTCAATGCACAATGTCTGAATCCTGATTCCCGTTCGAAGTTTTATATTACAGACCTCGGCCCCAACGTCCAGAGACAGTAACCTAAGGTTTCAGATCCCCATGTCCAAGCCGAGAGTCCGAATTCTGAAACCCCCAGTTGGCAACCTGAGAGCTAGAAACCTTTGACCTCATCTCCAAAACCTCTCGCTTCAAGATATTAGGTTTGAAACCCCAATTTATAATCGTAATCCTCAAATTCCAAACCTCCCTCTCAACATCCGACAACCAGAAGCCCTGGATCTTTTACATCACACCCAGTTATCGAATTCTGGATCTTTTACATCACACCCAAAGACACCAATGGCCAGTAGGAAACCCTGTTAAATGAAAAGTGGAAGGATGACTTGAACCCTGAACCTCAAATCCTCAGTCTCGAAACCCCTTGATCCGAAACCCCAAACCTCAAACCCTAAACCCCAAAGCCCAAATCCAACAACTTCAAACTCCCAGCCCAAAACCCAGAAACTCCTGAACCTTGTGTCAAAACCTCTCAATGCACAATTTCTGAGTCCTGATTCCCGTTCGAAGTTTCATATTACAGACCTCGGCCTCAACGTCCTAAGACATTAACCTAAGATTTCAGACCCCAATGTCCAAGCCGAAAGTCTGAATTCTGAAACCCCCAGTTCGCAACCTGAGAACTAGAAACCTTTGACCTCATCTCCAAAACCTCTCGCGTCAAGATATTAGGTTTGAAACCCCAATTTCTAATCCTAAGCCCCAAATTCCAAACCTCCCTCTCAACATCCGAAAACCAGAAGCCCTGGATCTTTTACATCACACCCAGTTTCCGAATTCTGATTTCCGAATCTAAAATTCCAGCCAAGTTGCATCCGGCCAACAATCCAACAACTCTAAACCTTCAGCCCAAATCCCATAAACCCAGAACTTCTGAATCCGAAATTCCAACTCTCGAAACTCGAATCCAAAATCCCAAAACCCTCACACCCAGAACCCTTTGCCAAAACTTCTCAATGCAAAATCTCTGAATCCCGAATCTCAAATCTAGAATCCCAAGTTCCAAAATCCTCAGTTTTAACCCCCGCATCTCGCAAGACCCTGAGACAAATAGGGCAAGCACGACACGGTTTGTATCGAATGCGGTATACGGCCCGCATTCCTTCATAGGGCGGTCACAGAACCTGATTCAGGCGGCGGGATAGGTTCGACCCTCAGATTTGGAGGGAAGTCGAACTTGAGCTTTGGCTGAAATCTCATAATTTCGCGCAGGCCCTCTGTCTTTGCTGGGACAGCCGGTTCAAACAAATATTCACCACTTTCTTTGGGTGGCATCTTTATCCAACTCACCGTTTTGTCGGGAACTGGCACCCGCTTGCCGCCGATGACCTTAGAAAGCTTGGATTCCGACAATTGGGTTTGACACGCACGCGTCTAGATCCAATGCAGTTAAGATGCCATGTAGCCCTTTGATTTCTTAGATGGGCTTTGGTCATCCAATTCCTTC